TAGTAGTAACAGTAGTAGTAGTAGTAGTAACAGCAGTAGTAGTAGCAGTAGCAGCAGCAGCAGTAGCAGTAGCAGCAGTAGCAGCAGCAGTAGTAGCAGTAGCAGTAGCAGTAGCAGCAGTAGCAGCAGTAGCAGTAGCAGTAGCAGCAGCAGTAGCAGTAGCAGCAGCAGTAGCAGTAGCAGTAGCAGTAGCAGCAGCAGCAGCAGCAGCAGCAGTAGCAGCAACAGCAGGAGGTAGTAGTAGTAGTAGTAGTAGTAATAGTAGTACATGAAGACATCTTAAGTAATGTTGAGGAGTTTAACAATCTTATTTGGTTAAAGCTTTTGGCAGGTTATCTAAGACCAAAATTAAATAACAGAAGGTTTTGTATGAGTCTATTTCACGTGAGTCCGGTTTATAATGGATACTCTCATCCCCTATCCATTGTCACTTCCCAATAGGGGTGTTCATAAATCGATCCAGACCGAAAAAATAGACCAGACCACCCCGGACCGAACCGAATTATTCGGTCCGGTCTTCGGGTCTTGAAATTTATTTTTCCAGTCTTCGGTCCAGTCCAAAACCCTATAAAAACCAGTCATGGACCGAACCAAATTTTTTATTAAAAATATGCATGAAACCTTAAATAATGGTTAAAACTATCCTTAATAAGCTTAGAAAACTTTAACTTCATAAGTTTTTTTGTACTAAACATACAAAAAAAAACGTAAAAAGACGTTAAAATATAGGTTTTCCTTTACTTTTTTGTGTTTTCCATAAACTTTATAAAAAAAAAAAAGTAGTATTCTTTTTTTAAAAACTCTTAAATCCGTTCAAAGCGGTTCGATCCGGGTTTTGGACCGATTTTTTCGGCCCGGTCCAAGTTCGGTCCTAGCTTAATCGGTCCAGTATTCGGTTCTAAAATTCTAATTTTCAGTTTTCGGTCCAATCCGGGTCGGTCCGGTCCGATCTTGGACCAATGAACAGCCCTACTTCCCAGTCCTTGTCGACGGCCGGCGACCTTCTCCCTCCCATTTCCCAGTGCCGGCGACCCTAACATTCACATTACTAACAACCCCATGTTTATTTTTTCCTCGAATTACTTCCCGACTGCTGCAAATGTTCATTTTTATTCGATTTCAATTCGGGTTTTGAATGACTAGCTTTGGATGTTCTTGATTTCGAAGGTGATGATCTTGATGCTGGTTCAGCAATCTCATTGAAACTCTCTCTTTGAGCTGTAAGAGCATCTGGGGTTGGTGAGAAAAACGACCAAATGAGTATGAATAGCAGGCCAAGCTAAGAATCACTAATGCAGTCAGCTTTGCGCACAACCCAACTGGGAGTGTTTAATATATGATATATATATATAAGGAAAAATTTATTCTAATAATCTCACCTTTGGCCGGTTCACTTTTAATAATCCCACCTTTAGATTATTATATAATAATCCCACCTTTATAGGGGATATGTTTCTGTTGGTCCTTAACCTGTTGGTAACCGATTTTCACAGGTTAATATGCCATGTTTCGTTTTTTAATTGGTTGGAAAATAAAATCGAAAAAATATATATATAAACTGAAAAAATAAAAAACAAAACTGAAAAAATTAAAAAAAAAATTAAAAAAAAACAAAAACAAAAAACAAAACTGAAAAAGTAAAAAAAAAAAAAAAAAAAAAAAAAAAACGCCAGCCACCGCCATCCACCGTGAACCTAACCTTACCTTAGCCCAACCAAAAACCGACCGCGACCGACACCCTACACCCCTGAAAATGGCCGGTCGAAACCCCCCATTATCGAAAACCATCCCGCCGACCAAAAGCAACCCCCGAAATAACCCCCTAACCCGAATCCTACCCCCGAAACTACCACAGCCACCACCCTAAAAACCTTACCCGAAACCCCCTTTAACCGCTGAAAATCCCCTCTAACCGCCGAAAACCACCGGAAAACCCCCAAACACTTACCCAAATTCATCCTCAGGCCATCCCTTGAAATTGATTCATTGAATTTTTTTTTTTAATCCATTGAAATAAAGGGTTTTAATGGATTTCGAGGGTGTGAGGGTTGGAATCGAGCTAGTTTTAGTTGGGTAAGGGTGGAAATGGGGTTCCGATAGTGAGGATGGGGGTTCGGCGGTGGAGGATGGGATGTCGGAGGTTGGAGTTAGGGACCTTAGGGTGTTCATTTGGGGCTGGCTTGTTTTTTTAAAAAAAAAAATAACATATGTTTTCTTTTTATTTTATTTTAAATTTTTGACTAATTATTTAGTGACACGTGTTACTAAAAAAATTAATAAAAAATAAATAAAAAAAATATTAAAAAAAAAAAAAAAAAGTATACCAAATGTTTAGGTTACCGGCCATAAGGGATCAATAGAAGAAGATCCCCTATAAAGGTGGAATTATTAAATAATAATCTAAAGTGGGATTATTAATAGCGAATCGGCCAAAGGTGGAATTATCAGAATCAATTTTTCCTATATATAACCTAATACACAGACATACACACACACACAAAAGGCTTATGCTGAAAACAACAAATCTCAACCATTCATTATTAGCACAAAAGATCAGACGGTTTAAAATGCCTAAGATCTTTCCAAACTTACATATAATCAATTCGATCGTTTTAAAGGTCACTACATACAAAAATAAAGTAACTTTATCTAAATTGATGACATTTACATAAAGTCACTATATTTAAAAATAACATAACTATATCAATTTTGACGATATTTACACAAAGGTCATTATATACAATAATAAGATAATTATATCAATTTTGACAACATTCACATAAAGGTCACTATGTACAGAAATAAGATAACTATATCGACTTTGAGTTTTTAACACCATTTACATAAAGTTCACTATGTACAGAAATAAGGTAACTATATCGATTTTGAGTTTTTGACTCTATTTACATAAAGGTCACTATACACAAAATAAAGGTCACTATATACAAAAATAAGGTAACTACATAAATGTTACAATATTTAAATTAAGATTGCTATATACACAATAGCTACGCATTCCTGCAACAACTAACAGCCACCTTCATTCACCTAGCCAGTCGTAAGCACTCCTATTTACCACAAGATCAAGCATCACAATTAGCCTTAAGCACTCCTACTGTAGGTGCCTTCTAGCTCTTTGACTTACTTCCATCAGAGGGTTTTCTAACCCATAAATCTTATCAGAGTACTTATCAAAGTCCTCCACAAATCGTAGGGTTCTCTCAATAATAACAGGATGATGTGGAGTGTCCTTGTTATTGAATATCTTATCATTCCTACAACCCCAAATATACCACATTAGAGCCACGCCTTTTCGCACCAATTTGGGAATAAATTTCTACAGAAAACAATCATGATTTACTCCTTATGACAGCCAAACAATGGTGTGCAATTAGCTGCATCCCACAAGTCTTTGACAGCAACACAATCAAACACAGCGTGTGTGTGTCTAATTCTGTCACTACATGCTGCGTCTGTCCAATTCTCCATTTCAATTAAAATCAACAAAAACAAGTATGCTCAATTTAAATCAATCAAGCATCTTAATATAAAAAATTAAACGTGATTATCTTAATTTAAGCTATTTTCATCATAATCAAACATCCACGTTACTAACTTTACCCAGACTTAATTTACTAAAATCAATAACACAAAAATCGTGTTACTAAGAAGGTGAAGAACAAAAAGAAGAGTAGAATTTCGAGCAAAAATTACACATACAAACCTAATTTACTAAAATCAAGCAAAATTGAACAAAATACAGTTAAAAAATACTCATATAAAATTGAAACATCCAAATCAAATCGAAAATTTCCCGATAAAAAACGACCAAAATTACACAAAAATCATTAGAAAAAACTCAAAATTACACATATGCATCTCAAACTACTTCGACAAAACTAAAATTTAAATCGAAAATCAAAATTCAAATCGTGAAATCAATTTGATTTCAAAAAATAAATTATAAAAAATAAAAAATTTAAACGAAAAACCTAAATTTAACATGGCTCAAATACAATGATAGGAAGAAATTAATGAGATTACAAATATAAATTCACTAATTCAAAGCTAAAATAAAGAAAATTCACTCAAATGAGGCTAAACTGATAAAAGAATTAGCAAAATTATAAACGATTTACTCACTTGAATTGATAGATCGTAGACGATAATATCAACCAATTTGATGAAGAATCGAAGTAATTATAAGATTTACAACTGTGATTTGAAGAAGTAGAATGTAATTTGAAGAAGAATGGAGAAATTAGGAGAGAGAAAGGTTACGCATGCAAATGAAGGAGGAGAGAGAAACTAAATGCTTTAGTCTGAAATTGTGGGAAAAAAACCCATCCGTAAGATATGATTAGTCAGAGATTGATTATAATCTACGGTCAAGATTTGTTGTTTTCAGTTTTCAGCTTAAGTTTTGTTTTGACATGATCCCCAATATATATATACATATAAGTATAATATAATATCCAATCTAACACTTATAACCTAATATCTTATATTTATAATCTAATATTTGACTATTATTATTTAATTTTTGACAATTAAGATTTTAAAAAAAATATACTTGTTTATGTTTGTATGACTGGACTCATGTAAATCCGTTCAAAACAATACTTTTCCATTTAAATAAATAGTCTACATCATTTGATTTTGTGATTAGGAGGTTTTTATTTTCTTAGACAATATTAACTTCACCTTAAAATTAAACAGGTTGATAAATAACTATCAAATAGAAGCTATAAATATATTAATTTACAAGTAATTTGCACACGAATATCGAACACTTGAACACCAGATTGGCCTGAATGAGACTCGATCTTTACTCTTGTTTGATTGTATTGCATCTATTATTTTATTAAAACAATTGAGAAACCAACATGCTCTGCTTTAGTTTTGAGTTTTGACTATATTATTCTTTTAAGGAACAATTGAGAAACCAACATGTTGTGCCTGAGTTTTGACTAACAAAGCCTATAAAAGAATAAAGATCATTGGCAAAAGAAAAAAAATATTAATTATCAATGTCATGCTGTGCTTCAGTGTATGCATCATTACATTTGTGATAGAGTGAACTCTAGATGGTTCATCTCCAATCCTAAGTTCATGATAAAGATAATTTCATAATTTCTATATTTGTACAGTACAATTGTTCAGCCTGATTATCTTTAACACTTTGTATACATTATTCTTTTTCTAGTTTAAGTCTAATTCTAATGTTATAAATATATAAATTTTACATCAAGCCCAGGAGCAACAACATGACCAAGGTGCGCATGGCGTGTTGAGTGCGTTCCAAAACCTCAATTGCTTTGGCTGTGTATTATAACATAGAAAAGTTTATAGTTCATACTTATATTGCTTTATCCCAAAAACCATCACTCTTTGCAGAGATGGAGGGGTGGAATCACATCCCTCACCCTTTGTGATTCATTTCCAGGGATAGCATTCCAAATTATCAACATAGCAGTGCTCCATATTGGAACAAACCAAGAAACCGGGAACACTGAAAATGACCCAGCCAAAAGAAGCTAATACGCTGCAGTAATCCTGTCAAAAATGGATCAATTTCACCTTGTTCTAAATTCCTGTACAAATTTAAGGCACTAATAAACAGATAAGAATTAAGCTGTTACATCCCTCTGTGTCAGGCCGTCAGCCATCATGTTTGCATTGTGCAGTATATGTGCCCCTCAGAACTCAGAAGCCACCATGGCAATGGTCTAAATCTTTGTAACTAGTAATTGGAGGCTCATCAAAAAGCAATCTTGTTATTAGATAATATTTTGACGAGTTCACGAGCTCACCACTTCTTCCAAATTGGATAGAATTTTGTCCATCTTATGATAGTAAGGCCAACTTTTCTGGCTCTTCTCGTCATTTTTGCTTTCCTGCAACAGAAAAATCAGTGACCAAAATCAAACTGATAACTTCATCCTGATGCTGAAGAAGTAGCATATATACTTGCATATATTTTGTCTACAGCTATAAGTTGAGCCTAATCCATGGCCAAGAACTCAGGGAGATGTTTCAAAAAACAAAGGGTCCTTAAAATCTAGTTTTTACATCAACACACATACAGGAAGGAAAGCCTCCCCCCTCGTACCCAACCAAAAATGGAAAAAAAAGTCTACTAAGATCCAAAATTCTAAAGTCAACATGACGATGTGCCACACCAGGCGATTTTGCCAAACTCTGTCTCTGAATGGCACAGCATGAGGTTCATGAGCTGTGCCTTGCTGAGCTGGCCATTTCATGGGTCAAACCAACGACATGGAACAACCCATATGCTGGTTCATAGGAAAGTAGAGGCAATAGAGGCCATCCTTGTTTCAAGATGTCAGCTTATTATATAAGGTTGTGTTCTCCGCGCCTATATTCCACTTATTTTAGCTTATATATCCAAATTCCAAAGCTTTATTTGTCAGATCAATATCATATTTTTCTGGACTTAACTTAAACAATTAGTATCCTCAACTTATAACAAAATGTACTCCCTTTATCCCTAAAATTATTCCCCATTTTATTTGGGCTTATAGATTATGAAAATGTCTTGTGGAGGGCCATTGTTCAGTGAAGATTTTATAGATTTTCACAGAAATGTATTTGTTTTCTTCTTTTTTCTTATACATGGGAGAGAAATGGGATTGAAAGAGAAAAAAAAAAAAAAGCATAAGAGATAGGCTTATACTATTATTTTATTTAGAGGACCCAATTCAAAAAAAAAAAAGGGGGGGGGGGGGGGGGGGGGGCTACTCTATTTGGGGAAAAGGAGTATTTGGGTAGCTACTATATTTTCTACATATATCTGGACTTCTTATTTCCTAAATAAAATTACTACATTTCCAAATTTAACTTATCTGGGCTTATAAAAGGTACAGATAAGATGGGAAGACAAGGCCTAAGTAACAAGTAAAGTTATACCCCGCAACACATAAGAGAAGACTTTTAACAGAATGGTTATCCCAAGCAGTGAATAAAAAAGGTGTGTCTTAGGTGCTCTTAATCAATGAGGCGCTAGGTGCGAGGTAAAGCAACTTTTTTTTTTACCCTAAGCAAGGTGCACCAGAGGACCATAGGTTTCTTCTTTACAACAAATTATTAAAATATTTGCTCAATGATCCGTACCAAGGCACACCTTAAGCACAACAGGACCCCTATCACTTTTGTGTGCCATGAATTATTTTATACATGGATGATTGATCCCAATAAGGTCCATCTTTCCATACGAACTATGGTTTATGTTTATAAGCACTCAAATAATTATAAAATAATTTTATTTAAAAAAAAAATAAAAATAAATAAATAAATAAATAAAAAATAAAAAAAACTTGTAAAGTACGTAAAGTAGCCAATTTGACTATATCTAATCATCTGAATGGCAAAGTTTTCAATAAGACCTCAAAATAACTCATGGTGAGACTAGGTCATAAGGGTCAATTTTTAAATTATCTGGGATAACTTTTAGTGTCTCACAATACATTAGTGTAACAATTTTACCCAAGACATACTTTTCTTCAATGTGTGTGCCCAAGTGAAAAGATAAGAGGGTGTAACTATACTGAAAGGAGATCCAAGAACAAACCTCATATTTTTGGACCAGAGAAGTCCACAAGGATTTGCATTGTCCAGGTGTTCTATTGTAGCCATCAGCTAAAAGGCTTGAAGATATCTCTTCCCAAAGTGCCATACGTCCTTTTACAACCTGGAACCTGTCATGTAACTCTCCACGCAACATTATCAACTTTTTTACCTCTTCAGGCTTCCATTTATTGCGTGTTGTTGACTTTGAGCGCTTTGACGAACGAGTTGATGTCTCATCAGATTCCCCTTCACTAACTTCCACACCTTCACTTCTGTCTGTAGATTTCTCCAGCAAACTAGAAGCTTCACCACTTTTTTCTAGCAAACCATCAGAATCCTCAGATTCTGCAGTAGAGTCTGCTTCTATATCAGAAGTAGAAGCAGCAGCATCAACCTTTTTAAGGAGTCTATCAAATTCACTATCATCTGCATCCAACAAAATTAAGAACAAGAAAACTATTAGGGAATTTGACTAAAGGCCTTAATCCATGTCATCTCAGTTCTGAAATTTTGAAGGTTGAATGGTGCAAACAGCTTATTACTTGCATAACATCCCTCTGCTTCAAATTAAAAGACAACATTAATTAGCCAACTTTGACCATTATCTAGGGTAATACTAAGTAGTAACAAGATACTTTTGATCACGAATGAGTATATTTTTCAGTCCAACTTATGCAAGTATTGACTCAACATACAGGCATCGACAAGTTCAAAATGAAGGTGTAAAATTTGCTACACTAGCAAAAGTGATTTTTTTTTTTATTATTATAATGCAGAAGCATGTCATATTAACTTTGAAAGGGACGAGGAAAATCCCAATAAAAAGAGCTATTTTGATGCAGAAAACCAGCTTGATAAGTTCCTGTTATATACAACATCCAGATAATAATTCAGGACTTCAGGCGTGCACATAAAGAGTGATACAAAAGGGAAGAGGACAACCTTCAGACTCCAGCTGTGAGGAGCTACTGCTAGCTACAGAAACATAACCATCGTCTTCCTCATCTTGTAATCTTCCAGAATTTTTCTTTTGCTGCTGTCCGTCAAATGCCTTGCGTAACCCTGATAGATTCAAGCCAGGATGTGACTTTCCAGATAGCCGTCCATTGACTTCTTCAGAAAGAACTGCTACTGGATTTTCAGTGGCGACCGCAATTACTTCAGGCCTTTTCCCACTGTACTTCCTCACCACTTTTCTTAATACCTCAGAAACTGTCCGCTCTATATGTGAAAGAGGACAATTTACAGGACAGCTAGACAGCGCAGCATGTGCAGCTTTGTACAGTGCATCTAAAAGCTTTCCTTTATCTAGCCATAAGCACCGTGTGGTTATTCTTATTTTCCCTTTCAAGCACTTCTCTGTAAAACCCTCTCCAGCCTGAGGGCGTAAAATCTCCATGCTTCACCACAAGATAAATAATATAGTTAGGCAGTGCTAATGCATTAACTTATAGAATCATAATACAGTAATCAATTTTATCTAATCTCCATCCTACCTGATCACTAATATACCATCTGTAGCAATTTTCATTCTTTCATCAATACAAAGTTCAGCAGATGTGCCAAAAGCTTTGTCACCATCATTATACATCAACTGTGATTACAAAACACCCATAAGAGTTACAGCAACAAAAAGCAGCACAAAGGCAAGTTGGTTCCCAGGAGAACCAAATCAACATACTCCCTCACCAACATATGACAGCTGGCACAAGAAATCCAACCTTAATCATAAATTGGATACTTCATGAGTCAATACATGAGGTAGATGGTTGGTGTCCTTGGTGAGGGAAAACAACATATTAATCCACTAAATGGATCTCAGGGCACAAATCTATTACCTGTAAATTTTCTTTGCCCAGAGAAACAAACCCATTAGATAACACTCTTCGATTCCTTAGGTGAGACACTCCAAGCATCTCTCCATTCTTTATCACCTGAAAAAAGTATATAGAGTATAATCTATGATCTAGACAATTGATGAATTGACAGTCTGACTCAAACTATTAAAGCTCAGTATTGTAGTAATAATTTTGTCAAAGTGAGATACAAAACTTACAGTAGTGTGATTAACACCAGTTGATTTTCCAAGCAGTTCATGCTCTTTAAGGAACAACAGCTCACCATGAATGGGAAGAAAATGCTGTGGCTTGACAATCTTGAGTGCTTCCGCCTTAAAAAGCAATATTTAACTTTTTAAAACATAGTGCACTCTGAATCGGAATATGACATACATAGGAAACTAGTATCTAATTGCAAAATTGCTTTTAAATTTTTAATTAGATCACAAAATGCATTGCAGTAATGTTATTATGATTTGACAGCCAATTAATAGGCCACTTGAAAACAATCTATAAATTGTCAAATTCAATTATCCTTACAATAGTTTCCCAAAATTGGAAGTTTCAATAGTTCATGCATAGACTATGAAAATTTTCTATATATAGAGTAGAAGAGAGAAACTACATCAATAATAATGCCCTTCATGTTTCCCATTTGTTAATCATCAAAATCTCAAGTTTTTTGTAGATATCTAAAAATTCTGATGGAAGTTTAAAACCATATAAGGAGATCTAAGAACATTACAATGGATTCCAAATAATAAAACTTACCAATTCCTCCCGATATGCGTGACCAGAAGTGTGCAGCATTTCATTTTTACCCATGACTAATGTTGATCCAAGTTCTGATATACGATTGAACATTTTCATCACCCTACTTTCATTTCCTGGTATGACCTGTAAGTCATAGGAATAGAATAAGCACACAAACGCATACTAGTAATACCTAACTTATTTCAAATAAAATGATTACCCCATCTCAGGTTAGTTTTGACACTGATGCACATAATTTTAGATGATAAGTTGTTTAATAATCAAATGTCAAATTAATGGAAAAGTAGATGCAAAAGAAGATAATGGGGAATTATTTTATTATAAAGTGGAAGTAATATTGATAGATGAAAGTGGGATGATTTTTGTTGAACGTGAGAGAGTCAAACCCTAACCTTTTGGCACTGGAAAGAAAGATTTATCAAAATAATAATAGGACACTAGGACCTATCCTTAATATTAGTGCTAAAACTAATTTGGAACAGAAGATAAAGGAAAGGGCAGAAACAAATCTTAGATAGAGTACAGTTTAAAAAACTCAAATTAAACAATAACGAAGATGAATACTGATTAAAATAAAAAACCCATTAAAAGATTGTCCTGAAGTATAATGTATAATAATGTCACCCCCACCAAATGTTTTCCAATATTTACCTTCGCAGAGTATAATATAACATCTTCTTTACTCAACTTTAGGGAATGACTACTCCCAAATGATGCGAGATTTAGAGCAGCACGTGGCTCTGCCTGACACAGCAATATATTTTGTCATAACCCAAAAAGAAGCCAAAAGAAAGAACGATGAATTACAATGGAGCCAAAGTGACAACATTCAACAATGACAGAAGCTGGAAATCATGTTATTACTCACTTGAGAGCCAGTTGTAACAATCAACAAATCTTTTGGGGCATAAGCATCAATATCTTCCACCTTAACCTGAGAAGAATTAGAGCACAAGGCATAAAGTGCATGTAGACATGATCTCTTAGAAGAATAGTGATAGAAGGTGAGTCTGGCTAAAGTTATCTACCAGATATATTAGATGACCACTGAGGAAAAATTCCAGACCTACCAGTGACGCAACCAGAAAATGTATACAAGAGGGCCACATTTACATATTTCATGTATCATACAAAGTATAAAGTTGAAACCATTTTTTAAAAAAATAGAAAGCTATAATACAAAAACAAGGTAATAAATCTTTTAAAAAAAATGAATATACAAAGAATAAGAACTTGAAGATGCACCATGGAAAACTTTATGGTCCGGATTAAAAACAGATAAAAGAAAGAGAGCATAAAATGTCCATTACAAACATCAAGCACAACTCATCAAATGGGTTCAAGACTTAAATTCCCAAAATGAACCAACTTTCCCAAGATTTCCAACTGCAACATGTCTCAACAACTAATAGATATTGTAATATATAAAGGTGGCCATGGCTATCCCCCGTCCATCTCTAGTTCTGCCAATGAACCCTGAATTCTATGGAATGATTGATCCACTATAAATTATGCATAGATAAGCAGCATAATACCATTCACTTTCTGTGTGTCTATGTGTGGTGTTAGATTTGGTTGGGTATGAGCATTGAAAAGCACTGAACTTCTCAGTTATTATAATATCTAGTAAACACCATTTTTAAAGAATTGCACAAAAAAAATTAAAAATAAAATAAAATCTCCAATAAGTTTACCAGAGTAGATGGATCAATAGGTGCCTTCCCATCCTTCCAAGCAGCATCCAAATATGTTCTCAAGGACATTCCAACAAAGACCTATTAGGACAAAACACGTTAAAATATGTTAAGCCTGCTTATTACAATAAAACACTACCAAAGTACCAAGTGTATCCTAAGAACTTTAAAAGATGCATACCAGCTTTCGACCCGTGGCATCTGCTGCTGCTTTAACACTTCCGAGGCGATGTATATTAGATGCAAACTGAGTAGTAATCACTCTTCCTTTGGCTGATGAGATATGCCTTAGCAGTGCATCTGCCACGACACTTTCACTAATAGTCCTCCCAGGTGACATGATGTTTGTTGAATCACTCATCATCTACAATTATAAAATAGTAGGTTGATACTTCCGGTTTGAATAAAATACTGACTATAAATGCAAACAACGTTATCATTATTTCCGTCTATTGAAATAAATAAATAAATATATAAAATAAAGAGAAGCAGCCATTACTCATCACACATAAACTACACAAATAAGAAAAAGAGTGAGGGTCCCCTGTGCAACACATTGGAAGTAATTGCCATCACGTTTAATTTATACACTTTATACAGACTGACGAGCAGAGTAACTACCACAATATAAAAAAAAAAATAAAAAAAAAAAATAAAAATAAACAAAAAACATATTATTTGGATACATATTTACTCTAGAAGCTGCACTAGATGTAGTGGCTCACTCTCTAAAATTAAACATTATCCAGCCAACTTAAGCATACAAGTAGAGTAACCAACAAGCAATAAATTAGATGGTCATCCACAGGTTTCTCGTCAATCTACACAGTAAGCTGACTAGCAGAGTAACTTAAGCAAACTTACTAATGTAACTCCTTCCTTTGCAAGCTCCTCCAATGCCACGCGATCAAACACTTTTCCATCTACAGGTTTCTCATCAATCTACACAGTAAACAGTTCAGATTATGCTTAGTGTACACATCCGTGCCCTTTTGAAGAACTTAATATAGTAGACATCAGTAGAATATAATACCTTCCAATCACCAGTGTGGAAAATTGTACCATCACTACAACGCATAACTAACCCACAGCAATCAGGTATTGAATGGGTAACCCTGATGGGTTCTATTTCAAATGGCCCCGCAGTGAACCTTCTCCTAGTTTTAAACATCTTTAATCTAGATGGGACGAAGATTCCAAACTCTTTCAGACGCTTCTTTATAAGCTGCTCAAGAACAGAAATGGCAGTGAATATTCGAGATATTTGAATTTTATCATAGAGCAGCACAAATCACAATATCTATAGGTAAAGCTCTCCTCACAGAAAATATTCATCAAAGACAGGGTAAATCTGAAACAATAAGATATGTTTCTTGGAAAAAGCAAAAGTTTGTAACAAATACCTCCATGGTAAAAGAGGATGCAAATATTGGTGTGCTTGGATCCAAGGCAGGGATAACCTGTGATAAAAAAATAAATAAATAAAAATAAAATAAAAAACATCTGGTCAGAAAATTGTAAATTAATATTGTCCTGAAAATGTGAAGGTTGACCTTTTTTTTTAACTAAATTTGACTATAATTTGACCATTGGTTCACAATAATTGTACTTCGTTCTCTTTAGGTATGTTTCAAATAGGTAAATTTGATTATAAACTTTCCCAATGTATGATATGCATTTCTCTACTTAGGCTATATACTCTGCAAATTGCTTTTGGAACTACTACATAAAGAGCTACTATGAATTCTTGTAACCACATATTTTAATTATGTGATAATAAAAGCTATGACAGTTTTGTTTGCATTTTGTCGCATCTATGATAATCCAGCATAATGCTTTTATTTCTTATACTCTAGTCATCTAGTGTCAAAAATGGTCAAAGTTTAATCAAACCAGATAAATTCAAAATGAAACACCTTATTTTCGAAAAAGAGAACAAAGCATTGTACTTTTCTCATCCCCCCCCCCCCCCCTCCCCTCCTGATGAATCAAACCAGATGAAACCAATTTAGACCAGAATACCTTATTTTATGAGAAGAAAACAAAGCATTGCACTACTTTTATCTGCCCAACCCCCCCCCCCCCTCCACCCCCACACCAAACAGTGAAAAGTTGTTCATATACAAATGGTTGCAGCCTTCATATTAATAGTGAACAGAGTTATTCACATCTGAAAAATCCTCACAATTACCTTGCCATGGGAAGGGAGAACGGGGAAAGAACCTCTTTAGGGACATTGAGGTAAGTTGAAATTGTTAATCTTTTGGGTGCAAAATTGTGAAATGAAAAAGGCATTTATAATAGATTATAGCATCAAAAATAGTTCAAAATGATTTTTTTCATAGTCTAACAAATATAAATAACTTAAAGTTACAATCAAAGAGTTAATTAGAAAGATTCAAACATGCAAATTCTTGTGCAACTAGCATTTCACAAGTAATCGAATAAATGTAACAATAAAGCATTAACATAAGTAGGAGGCAGTGCAATTGCAACTCTTTCGGTCAAGACTAGATGATCCTAGCTTCCAAAAAGTCAATTAATTACTGTGACAACAAGGTCTATTAAAAACCCAACTTCAAGTAACAGAAAGAAACTTTACCCAAGGCAACGCACCAATGTGATCTTCATGCCCATGTGTAATTATAACAGCTTCAATTTTGTGGCTCCATCTTTTTATAAAAGTGGTATCAGGTATAATTTTTTGAACACCAAACTCATCAAAGCTGCATTAAGAAAATTAGATCAAGGAGACTAGATTAGCAATTCAACTAATACCCTTGTTACAAATGTAGAAGGTGGTGGACTGTAACACTGGTGCATAAACACTTACTCTGGAAACATAATTCCTGCATCAATTAGAATATAACGATCGTAATTGCCAACAAGCATGCAATTCATCCCAATTTCACCCAAACCACCAATAGGTAGAACACGTAGAGGTGGGCCAGTGGGACCTTCAAAGAACTGCTCCATTTTTCGCTTTACAGAATCTTCCATACTTTTCCTAGCACCTTCAAGCCTTACATGTCTTTTACGTGGTACTTTTGTCGTATCTGTGCCTGAAATTAGTCCAACAAATATAAGAATTACACTAACAGAAATGATATTGGCACATGACCAATGGTCTAAGTTTAGACTAAACTTTTCAAGAACCTCACAGGTACAGTAAAACTTAGGAGATGTCATTTCCAAACAATGATTTAACATAAATACAGTAAAACACAAATATACATATACTATGCTTCTAGATACAATAGAGCAACATGACAATAACGAAGAACTAATCCTCTTATATTATAACTGCATTAAATGGGTTCTTTGTGAGCAGTCAGAAAACTCCGGCTCTTTTGTACATAGCTCTATCAATCAGACACTCAAAATGAAAACCTGCATCCAGGAAGTGAGACTGCAAAATTTTCAAAGTTTTTCTGTTGTTCTTTCTATATAAAAATCCAATTAGTCTTAAAAAGGAAAAGCAATAAATTCTCGAGGGAACACTCGTGATAGTCTATAAATCATTTCATGAATCCTGAGAGAAGATAAGTGAAATCCATCTTTCATTATCTCTAGTCTATAAATTCGAAATCAAACTTCCAAACACATAAAACTTAGTAACATGCACAATCTTGCATCAAAGATTTGGTCCAGAAAAAAACTTGTTCAAGGAAACAACTTTCATTAATCACCCCTTAGAACAAAGCCTATCCTACATCCTCGCTCTACCATATCCTCTAGAGAAAATTACACCTCACTTACAAGTTACAACCCATTAAGACAATATTAGATAGATGTTAATGTCTGTGATAATACAAATTCATTCCAAAACTTATGTTTTTTTCACATATTTACATCACCACTCTAAGGTGGGAATCGAGTAATAATGAAAATTTGTGAAGAAAACGACTATATAATCAAGAACATTACCATTACCGTCATTACCAAACAGGCCCGCAAAGTCATTAACAACCTAAACACGACCGAGTGAGAAAATTCAACCCAAAATGACGGTAATGGTAATGGTAATGGTAATGACTTTGCGGACCTGTTTGGTAGCTAGTTTAGAGTGTAATGGTAATCAAAGGCGCTGCCATTACCGTCATTACCTAACTTAGCAGCTTATCGAGAGGGTAAAGAATTAGACAAATAAATTCAAAATCCTTTACAAGCTACTAAACAAGTTCCTCCAAATGCAACACAAACTACCACTAAACAAGAAACCAAATTCAACCCACTTACACTAATTCCTGTACAAAAAATCCCAAATTAATTTTGAAGCAAATTAAACAATAATAATTAAAAAAAATAATGAATTTAAGAAAACGTACTTAAGTTGGCACGAGTAGAACCAAGAGAACAGGAAATGTAACGGTTTTTGAAATGGTTAGGACGATAAGAGAAGGAACAAGGACAAATTGAAACGGCAGTAAAAGCCGCCATTGTTAAACCTTGCCCTTCTACAGTAAGAAGCAGGGCTAAGAGGAGAGAGAAGAGAAGGGGTTGAAGAATGAAGGAAGGAAGGAGGCGTTTGAGAAAGAATGGATAGATAATTATACGAGTAGAAAGAAAGCGAGAAAAGGAGGGTGAAAATTGAAAATATCTCTCTTATCGTTTAAGCTCTTGTTTCATTTCAAGTTTTAGACTGTTGTAGACAGTGATGGCGGACTTGCCTCCTCACGTGCTTTACTTGGATTTTCTCTCTCCTGTCACGTGATCATCTCATTTTTTTTTTTTTTATTTTTTTTTTTTTTTACTTGTAACAACATGAATAAATGATAAATTGATATTAGCCTTGAACAAAATATCTTCGTCAATAAAAACCTTGAACAAAATATCTTATCGAACTTGATTACGTAATAGACATTTATCAAAAAAAAAAAAAATGTAATAGGTCGGTTTGATAAATCAATTGAGTTAAATTGTTCGCTCATATGATGCATGGCCGTAGAAGAGCAAGTGCAACAAGTCTTCTTGCACAAGGCCCCAATTTCAAGAGGGTCTATTTTCAATTTTTTTTTTTTAAGTTGTAAAATTCTTCTTGTTTCTAACACTAAGCAATCCAACATATAAACAATTGTCAGATTTCCAGCTATAACTTTCTATATTCTTCCATCAATTCAAATTACTATTATCATAATTACATCAATTTAATTTCATGGATAATTATACTTGTATTGCTTATTTCTCTATTCAAGAATTTTCAATGGAATATATATATATATATATATATATGAAGTCGTTGTAGCCAAATCCCCAATTGATACACAATCAAATAAAAATGAATTGGGAATTAGTGAATTACTGATTTGATTTATTCCTTCTTTGCTCATCCTTTGTTTGATTTTAGGGTTTTTTTACTTTTTTTTATTTTTCTAGTTTTGATGATGTCAAATACGAAGTAGTTTCTTTAACTGATGCATTTTTATTTTATTTTTTTTTGTGAAGGTTAAAATCTTCTAAAACAATTAGAGAGACAAGTATTAGAATAAGTCTATAAGATTGAGTATTTGAGTTAAGTTGTTGTACTACCTCCGTTACAGGTTATGTGCAACGATTAGACATTTTCCCTCTCTACTTTATGTCAAATTGTTGCACATAACCTATAACGGAGGTAGTATATATGTTTTGAGTTATATTTAGTTGCTATTATAAACTTGAATAAAATATCCGAATTTGGTTTTACGTAATTAAGTACTTCATACTTTTTCTTTTTTTGTTGTTTAGAGAGCCGCAGGGGATGAGAATCAATCTTAAGATCCCCTGCAATCGAGAGAGGAGATCTAACCACTTGAGCTAATTCTCACTCTCTAGATACTTTGTATATTTTTTTGGTGAAGTAAATACTTCGTATATAATTGCTATAGGAACGCATTTTCATTTTGTAATGTATAGGAAAATTGTGCATCACCTAAATAGTAGATAAAAAAATTGTATGGAATTGTAAGGAGGGTGTGCCCATCGTAGGGGATGCTTCTCCTTATATGCCCATGGCCCTTTAAAAGCCTAGGACTTTACACTTGTTAGGGTGTATTAGGATTTGAATTCCTCACTACTTGGGGGACATTGAATTAGAATTGATCCTATCATTACGCTTTTTGTAAGAAACAAGTAGGAGTCGCCAATGAGTTTTAGGAAAACTCATAAACCTCTTTCATGCCTTTCTCCCAAGTAGAGTTCAAGGGATATTTAGCATGAATCGTAAGTTTACCCGTGCCCAAATTGGTCTTCATGTACCAAAAATGAGTTCGGAAGCGAGGGTACTAATTAAAATAATGTTTCATTTAGGGGGAATCGCTATCCTAGCCCTAGTACGATCTCTATTAGCTCTTCCTTTTTCACAATTTCATCACCAAACAATATATGCAACTATGGGTGAGCAAGACCGGGTACCCGGTCAAAAACAATGGAACTAGTATTGGAACTGGTTACCACCGGGTTTGAGATTTAGAACTGGTATTGGAAATGGTCTTAACCGGGTCCAACAATTATGGATATGGTCCCGGAACTGGTGGGAACCGGTTCCAAAATCGAGTATCCGGTTTCTCACCAACTTTGCAATGTTCAAAAACTAAATTGGCTAAGATTTATAGCCAGATTTCACTGTCAAAACATAGAGTAACAATCAATTACAACTTCAATATGCAAAGTAAGAATCCACATAGTGTATATTGCATAAATTTTGTTCCCTTCCATTTCTAATTGTGCTGGAAAAAAAAAATCTCTCACAATTTTACATTATCAGAATAGGTGAAATAAAAAATAAAAAATAAAAAATAAAAAATAAAAAAAAAAAGCGCAATGATGAAAAAGTATTTAAAAAAAATGAAAGTTTGAGGTAGTGGAACTGTGGAAGATTGAAGAAAGAGGAAGGAAGAGAGGCGTTAGATTGTGAGAAATTGAAAATGAGGGAAAACATTAGAGGGAGTACGTGTGAACGGCTGAAGGAGTTTGAGAATTTTTAGGGTTGGTTGAATAGGAGTGGACCTATCATATTATATGGGTTGCAAAAATTATCTACAGTAATATTTTTTTTAAAAAAAAAACCCAATCCTTATGCATACACTTGATTTAACCAGGTACCCAGTGGGTACCGGGACCAAACATTCAGGACTTGGAACTAGTCCCAGCTCTAACCAGGTCCATATCTTCGGAATTGGTCTAGGATCCAGTGTAACCAGTTCCGGGTCTAAACTAGTTCCAATTCTGGAACCGGTACCCGGAATTTTTGCCCACCCCTATATGCAACGTGATGCCTAAAAACTAAGTTAGTTGATTTTATTTACAAGCATCAATCATGTAGGAATTACATTGCAAAGGTCGTTATTCTTATTTAATCGATATTCGTGAAAAGAACGATAAATAAACAAGATTCGCCTTGACTTAGGTGATCAATCAACAATTAATTATTCTATTATATTCTTTATTTAACACAAGATACTATGTGGAATTGTAGACACCTAAAAAAGTCTCCCCAAAACCAAACCCGATGATGAACAAACTTTCACCGCCGTTAATGGTCGGGCTGAGTATCTAATCTTTGGAGTGCTATCCATATTTCCATTTCATAAACCAACCCAATTCATATCCCATTTCCCCAAACCATAACTTATTTTCCTCTTTTTGTGCCTTTAAACCCAAAATAATTCATTTCGTGTCCTTTAAAATCATTCATTTTGTGTCCTTTTTACAAAAATGTTTAGTCTTGTTTATTTTGGTCCATAATATAAGTCCAATTATTGAATATTTGGATGGGACTAGAAAAGAGTTTTCCAACGATATATTATAAGCCCAAATCCGAGTTATAATGAATAAGTTATGACCAAAATATTAAACTGAGCCTAAACGAACCTAAGCCCACCTAACCTACGACCCAATGATCATGTGGAGGGTCCAAAGGATTTAACCCCAATTCTAAACAAATTAGGATTAATTAGAAGCTTCTATAAAGTTTCTAAAATATCTTTAATTATCCTTTTTTAAAAGATAAGATTAAAGAGTTTGAAATTGAATAAAAACTCCTTTTTTTGAAATTCCTAATTCTATTCGAATTGAAAGACGTTCAAAGATAGAAAAATATTATTTTCTTGCCTCAAATTTTTTATCCAAATCTTAGATGGTTGGATAGCCTTGAAATCATCTTTCCAATGATATATTATAATATCAATTCCGAGCTATAACGGAAAAGATATGATTGAAATATCAAACTATATCCAAAACTGACACCGTCTCACTATTTTGGTCATATATTTTATTATACAAAATATTTTAATCCGATTTTAGTTGGGTTAGAAAGTAGACTTCAACAGATTTCCAACGACATATTATTTATCTTATTCTAATTTCTGGATCAAAAGATATGATAAAAACAAAAAACCGCTAAAACTGTTGTCTATCGCAAGTATTATTCCAATTCGAATTCTTATCTTTTCTTAATTCTTCGACCCTTATTTTTCCTTATGAATAGAGGTCATATCTCCCCTTTTTCAATCATCAACAAACTTGATCATCAAAATAATTCTCTTCTCCCTCTTTAGCCTAAACACTGGCCTCCTTATTCTTTCATTCCTTCCTTAAGCACTCCAAGGAGTTCATACAATACCCAAAGTTCTATACTTAAACCAAGGCGTGAAAGGTATAATTGACTGAGGGTTTGGACCAAATCAACTCTACTTTTTATCTTTTTTAATTAATTTCGTTTGATTTATATTTTTATTGAAGTTACTAACAGTTTATTCAATGTAGCAATTCAAGGAAACGCGGAAAGTGAGTAATTAATCACTTACTTACTCTTATTATTTTATATTGCTAGTATCATGATTAGGTTTATTATATTTTATTTGACTAACAATTTATTGTTGAATTGCTTCCAATATTAATGTTTATTCTATTATTATTTTTTATCACCATATTGCATGTTTAAAGGGAATATGTAATTGAAAATTACGCCTAATAAGATAATTTGGACCACCGGTTTAGGTTCCTTTTTAATCTTGTTGTTTAATCAAGTGATCACAAATATTTTAGAATAAAGTGTTGCATTAATAGTCAACCAATTTAGCTTAATAATAGTTTGGAGCAAATTGAATATTTTGTTTGCATGCCTTTGAGATTGCATGAATACTTTTCACTATAAGAATCGAGTAGAGGCCAATACGAGCGAATGTGACTCCATGACTCACTTCGTACCATCATCCCCGATCCTCTTTTCGTGGTTCCGAACCATATGGAGTTAGTAATATAATGGATTATGAATGGGGTGTAACCTTCACAGGTCAATCGTTGTTGCCTTTCGTTGTCCCTTAATCGTGGTTGACTTTTATGATCTGTGAACGATTTACAAGTTCCTTAAAAACTTGTTGGCGGTTTTCTACTTTCCTTGTCCCTAATCGTATATGTCAATTCCCATTTCCTATGAAAGCCAAGCATATTCATACATGCTTACGTAGGCGCGCTTCAAACGACGCCTCCAGGAATTAATTAATTAAAAGTTTATTTAAGGTGATCAAACAACATATTTATTCAATTAAATTTATTTAAACAACAAAAGAAAAGTGATTTATCTAAGTCCTTAGGAAACTTACCGTTCTTCTTTTGTTAAATCTCCGTTTAATGCATTTAATCATTTATGGACTTTCTTTCTTCTTTGTACCTCCAAGGTTTTCAATGGATTCAATTAGGGTTGGAAAGTATTTGGAAAGAGAGAAGAAAAGTAATATGATAGCAAGAGAAGTTGAGAGATTAGGGATTTAGAATGCTAGGGTTTAGAATTGTTATTTTTCTGTCGTCTTTCGGGTTGAACAAAGACCCCTAGGTT